AATCAACTACAACCGGCCGCCTCCAGTTATATTATGTTGCTGCATTTGTGGAGAAAAATTAAGATGGTGCCTCAAGGCTTTGTCAGCGTTGCAGCACAATCTTCAGATTCACCTCTCCTTCTTTCCTTCATTACTGCTCTTGGTCTTGTTATCCTCATCCTCTCTTGTCTCGTGGCAGTTTGTGTGATAGCTGCGGCATTCGCCATTCTTCTCATCTACGTAATCTGTGAATGCGTTTGCTGGTCTCTGTTGGACAGGTTCGACTGTGATCCAGAGCTAGGACAAGGGATTAATCGCGCTCGCAACGTTACATATCAAGCAATTATCCCCAACTATTTGCAGGCATTGGATTGCGAGGACGAGAGGGCGCAAGAGCTAAGGCAACAGGCATTGGAAAAACTATTGCCTCCGGTGGTTTTTCGTGACGGTAAAACGTCGTTGGGATCTGGAGACTGTTCTATTTGCCTGGATGATTACGTGGTTGGTGAATTGTGCAAGATTTTTCCAGCATGCAAGCATATGTTTCATCTGAATTGCATAAACAAATGGTTGAAGGATAACCTGACTTGCCCAATTTGTCGAAAATATGTCTTAGATGATTGAGCTTTCGCTTGTGTATTTGATCATAGTCCCCACAAAACTATACATGTATATAAATTCATTTGCTCATTTTTTATGACTTTATGAGTAGAAGTTTCAATTTACATCATCACGAATTGGCACATATAGAAACTATAATCAACATATCATAATACAATTTATTAGTCTCTAATTTTTCTTTTTAGACAATTAAAGTGTCTCTGATCTAATTTTTCATTTCCTAACCATCTTCGTGCCTCTCTTTAATGCCATGGAGTTGATTTTTTCGTCTCATACTTCCATTGTTATTTGTTAGTACCATTTTTAATATAACATTTTTTTAAAATGTCCTTTCAATATAACATGATTTCATGTAAATATCTTGAATGAATATGATTTATTTGTCTAAAATATTATTGTGTTATGTCCCAAAAAAATAACCTAATTGATTAAAAATTTTAAAATTTAAATTTAAATCTTAATTCTAATAAAGAGAAAAGATTTTAACAAAATAATAATAATTATTTTTTATATAACTCCATATTAAATGTTAAAAAAATTCATTGAGTTATTCAAAATTTCAAATATTTTAAATATATTTCCCAAAGGAGGAAAAAAAAAAAAGAATCCTAAAGCATTAGGTTACAGTTTACAGGCTTGC